AGGGCTGCCGCCGGATGGGTATCTGCCGGGGGCCGTCTGGGCACCCCTACCCATCCAGTGGCCGCCCGATGGGGAGCCAGCTGGGTACCCCTACCCATCCAGCGGCCGCCGGATGGGTATCTGCCGGGAGACGGCCTGGTACCCAGCAGCCGCCGGATGGGTATTTGCCGGGAGCCGCCTAGGCACCCCTACCCAGCCAGCGGCCGCCAGATGGGTATCTGTCGGGAGACGGCCTGGTACCCCTACCTATCCAGCGGCCGCTGGATGGGTATTTGCCGGGGGCCGGCTGGGTACCCCTACCCATCCAGCGGCCGCCGGATGGGTATTTGCAGGGAGCCAGCTGGGTACCCCTACCCAACCAGCGGCCGCCGGATGGGTATCTGCCGGGAGCCGGCTGGGTACCCCTACCCATCCAGCGGCCGCCGGATGGGTATCTGCCGGGAGCCGGCTGGGTACCCATACCCATCCAGCGGCTGCCGGATGGCCTCAGCCTCAGCCTGCCTCGGCCTCAGCCTGCGTCAGCCTCAGCCTCAGCCTGCCTCAGCCTCAGCCTGCCTCGGCCTCAGCCTCAGCCTCAGCCTCAGCCTGCCTCGGCCTCAGCCTGCCTCAGCTCGGGCATTCAAAATATGGCACAGCAATTGTGTTCTGGGAACACGAAGATCACGAAGTGACCCACAGTTGGCTCCGGGCAATCAAAATGTGGTACAGGAGTCGTGCTCTGGGAACACGAAAAACATGCGGTGGCCTAGAGTTGGCTCCGGGCATTCAAAATGTGGCCTGGGAATGGTGTTCTGGGAACACGAAGAACACGAAGTGGCCTACAGTTGGCCCCGGGCATTCAAAATGTGGCCTGGGAATTGTGTTCTGGGAACACGAAGAACACGAAGTGGCTTACAGTTGGCTCCGGGCATTCAAAATGTGGCCTGGGAATGGTGTTCTGGGAACACGAAGAACACGAAGTGGCCTACAGTTGGCCCCGGGAATTCAAAATGTGGCCTGGGAATTGTGTTCTGGGAAGACGAAGAACACGAAGTGGCCTACAGTTGGCTCCGGGCATTCACAATGTGGCCTGGGAATGGTGTTCTGTTGGCTCCAGGCAGTCAAAATGTAGCTCCTGGCAATAAACATGGTGAGTCCGCGGATTCCCGCGGCACCCGTCCGGCATCTGCCCAGACCCCCTTGGGGAGTCATGATGCTTTCTCTTTTGAGACCACTGGAGACCTATCAGTCTTCCCTGTTAGGTAAAAGTGTGAGCCGCGCGCGCGCTCAAAGTGCGAAGGTAACCAACAACGAATCAATCAACACAACACTGGCCTGCTCGCTGCGCCTGGCAAGTAACATCCCTATCATGTCGGAGGCAATTGCTCTGCGGGCCGGCTCGGGCTTCAACAACGCCTCCAAGCACGCCAGTGTTATGCCGTCGTGTTCTGAGCGCTCCCCCCCCCTCCAGGCTGCCGCCAGATGGGTATCTGCCGGGTGCCAGCTGGGTACCCATACCCATCCAGCGGCCGCCGGATGGGTATCTGCCGGGTGCCGGCTGGGTACCCCTACCCATCCAGCGCCGGCCGCCGGATGGGTATCTGAGCGCCCCCCCCCCCTCAGGGCTGCCGCCGGATGGGTATCTGCCGGGTGCCGGCTGCGTATCCCCCATCAAGCGGCCGCCGGATGGGTATCTGCCGGGAGCCGGCTGGGTACCCCTACCCATCCAGCGCCGGATGGGTATGCCGCCGGATGGGTATCTGAGCCCCCCCCCCTCAGAGCTGCCGCCGGATGGGTATCTGCCGGGTGCCGGCCGGGTACCCCTACCCATCCAGCGGCCGCCGGATGGGTATTTGCCGGGTGCCGGCTGGGTTCCCCTACCCATCCAGCGGCGGATGGGTATGCCGCCGGATGGGTATCTCAGCGCCCCCCCCTCAGGGCTGCCGCCGGATGGGTATCTGCCGGGGTATCTGCCGGGTGCCAGCTGGGTACCCCTACCCATCCAGCGGCCGCCGGATGGGTATATCTGCCGGGTGCCCCGGCTGGGTACCCCTACCCATCTGGCGCCGGATGGGTATGCCGCCGGATGGGTATCTGAGCGCCCCCCCCCCTGCAGGGCTGCCGCCGGATAGGTGTCTGCCGGGTGCCGGCTGGGTGCCCAGCGGCCGCTGGATGGGTATCTGCCGGGTGCCAGCTGGGTACCCCTACCCATCCAGCGGCCGCCGGATGGGTATATCTGCCGGGTGCCGGCTGGGTACCCCTACCCATCTGGCGCCGGATGGGTATGCCGCCGGATGGGTATCTGTCAGAGCCCCGAATCATCAGGGGTAACTCGGGTCAGGGCTAACTCGGGTTCCTTTTTCGGGAATCCGAGCCCGAGTTATCCCGGACCCGAGTTACCCCGGATAACTCGGGCGTCCAGAGCCCCGAATCATCAGGGGTAACTCGGGTCAGGGATAACTCGGGTTCCTTTTTCGGGAATCCAAACCCGAGTTACCCCGGACCCGAGTTACCCCGGATAACTCGGGCGCCCAAATCTGAGCGCCCCCCCCCCTCAGGGCTGCCGCCGGATGGGTAAGTACCTGCCGGGTGCTGGCTGGGTACCCCTACCCATCCAGCGGCCGCCGGATGGGTATCTGCCAGGTGCCAGCTGGGTACCCCTACCCATCCAGCGCCGGATGGGTATGCCGCCGGATGGGTATCTGAGCGCCCCCCCCCCTCAGGGCTGCCGCCGGATGGGTATCAGCCGGGTGCTGGCTGGGTACCCCTACCCATCCAGCGCCAGATGGGTATGCCGCCGGATAGGTATCTGAGCGCCCCCCCCCCCCCTCGGTATCTGCCGGGTGCCGGCTGGGTACCATCCAGCGCCGGATGGGTATGCCGCCGGATTCCTGGGTATCTGAGCGCCCACCCCCCTCAGGGCTGCCGCCGGATTGGTATCTGCCCGGAGCCGGCTGGGTACCCGTACCCATCCAGCGCTGGATGGGTATCCCGCCGGCTTGGTTCTCCTCCACCGCCCCCCCCCTACCGGTCGCTCTGGCACTCCTGGAGCGACTTGGGGACAACAGCGACCCCCTGACACCTCGCGTGGCGCTCCCTCCAGACTCAGGGGGGGCATGGTGAGGGAGAACCCTTTCCCCGAACGGGAAGAAAGGGGGTCAGCAGAACGAGCTCCTTAGACCACTCACGCCTAGAGGGCTGGTCTGCCTCCTGGTATGCGGCCCTGCTGCTCTTGCCTCTGCTGCCAAACGCAAGCCTGCCAGCCTTGTGGCTCCAGGGGCCGCCTTCAGCTGACGCAGCAATCGACGATATGACTGATTTTCAGAGCCCTGCTCCGTGCCTCCTACGTAGTCGTGCTTCGCCGCTGTGGCCCACAATTGCTCTCGGATTGTATGCATTGAGGCGTCACGAAATGCGAAGGCGTACCAATATTGGAACCTCCAGTGAGGTCCTCGACTCGAACAACCCAACTGCTGATCATGCCGTTACCATCGGGTAACAATTCCGTTCAGTAGGGCTGAGAGGGTCAAGGGGGTCTCCCACCCTGCTTTCCATAAACAATTTATGGCCGTGCCCTGGGGCCCGCGAATAAATCGATGTCTACGCTCAGCTAGAAGTCCTCTGAGCTGTCGCACTAGGCGGGCCCAAGACTGGTTCATGCCTGCCCTGATGGTGGGCACAGTGGTCCAGCGCGACAACCACAAACAGAAATACTCGATCGGCATCTTGTAGGCAGGGTCCCGACCTTCAGCCCGAAGGTCGGGGAGATTGGTCAGACACCGACCTGATAACTGTGGGCTGACTGCATTGGCTAGTCTTCTTCTCACCTGCAACTTGTGCTCTGCCAAGAGCCAGTCAGTGCAGCTCGTGGCCGTATATGTCCGCTGCCTGCGCTCCCTGCTGTTTCAGTCTGCTAGTATTGGCGCAGTAAGGATTCCACCTGGATATTTGTTTTAGCTCGATAGAAGATTCGGTCACCAAATCGGGCAACGATTTGGTCGACAAATCGGTTCAACAAATCACATTTTGTTCAGGCTAATCGTGTTTGGCGTTTCAGGCATGCATGCCAGCGCATCTACGAGCGGCAATGCTTTTTAGGGATTGGATTAACAGGGAACAAGTTGCAATTCGCAGCGGCGCAGAGAGGGGGGGCATTCGCCTTGTTCCTGGCGCCCTCGAGTGTCGCATCGTCTCCTGCAAGCCGAGGGAGCTCTCGCAGGCGCGCCCCAGGGTACCCTCACGATCGACCCCCTCGCTCGTGCTGGAGCGGCGGACTGTCCATGGCCCCTCTGTGAGAGGGGGTGCCGAGCAGCCGTGGTTGGACGGGGGGAGCCAGTCGGGTGATCTCTCGAGGAGCCGCGCATGGGTGGAGGCGGGGAGCTTCCATTGCTTCCCGCGCCGAGCACAGCAATCGAGGATATATCCCCCATGCGTGGCCCGTAGAGGCACCACTGCTGGGACCCTGCGCCCGACCCCCACAATCACCCTCCAACTGAGGTGCCCGCAGGGAGGAGAGGTCGGGTGATCTCTCGAGGAGCCCGGGCCTCCTCCGGGCGACCCGAGGAAAACGGGGCGCCTCCGATAGGCGTTTTTTTTTGTTCTCTCTCTCTCTCTCTTTTTCTCCCTCTCTCTCTCTCTCTCCCCTGCGAGCTGGCGGAGCAGCCTCCCGCGGTGGCTCAGCCACGGCAGGGGTGAGCCGCGACACCGTAGCGGGAGCATGTCTGTGTTGCCAGCCCGATCGACGGAGCCCCTGGTGCTCCTCTCTCGCTCTTCTCGTCTGCTCCTCGTCTCGTTCCGCGAGGGGCACGGTGGGGGGGTGAAGGGAGGAGGTGTGTGTGTGTGTGTGTGTGCGTGTGTTTTCTGGGGCCGCAAGGGCAGTCGTCAGTGGCCCTCCGCCTCTTCCTACTCCCGTCCAGAGGTGCTTTTCGTCATGCTCCTCATCCACCCCGGGCCTCGGCGACCCTGGGGAAGTTTCGGGCCCTGCTGGGGCCGCGAAAGATATGTCTTGCTCCCGTCCAGAGGTGCTTTTCGTCATGCTCCTCGTCTGTGCCTTCGGACTCGTGCCCCACGCCTACTTCTACGGCGAAGAGCGAGGCGCGGCGGCGCACGTGCCCTGGGTGTTTGTATATCTGTTCTTCTCGCCGCCATCTTAGTTTTCCCTTCAAATCTCATCATTGGTACAGTCGGGGCGCTGAACAAGGAACCCTTTTTGGTTGGGGAGGGGCTCCGTGTTCGTTAATTGTTTCGCAGTTTGCCTGAGGTTGTCCTTAGGTTTTCGATGGGGAATCGAAGTTCAACTTATGGAAAAAAGGGGCCTCGTTCCTTATTTTAGGTCAACGCCCCGACTGTACCCTTTATCTTTTTACCTCTTCTATTCCTTCATCTCGTGCCATGGAAAACATCATGCTTTGAGAGGCTTGCACCATTGCGCGGACCCCCATGCGAGAGAGGACTCATCAGTCACGAGTCGTTCGCATTTTCCGTGCTTGGTGCTGGTTCGGGTGCGTGCAGTGATCATGACACTATACGTCCGGGCGCCTTCGGGCAGAGGGGGTCTGCAGTTGTGTCTCGGCGTCGCCACTGCGCTGACATGCGTGGTCATGGGCGCGCGTGTTTTTTTTTTTTTTTTTTTTTTTTTTTTTTTTTTTTTTTTTTTTCTGGTGTGCTTTCCCCACTTGGGCGACGCAGGACAACGGGGTCGTCTGCACCGACACTTGCGCGCACGCTTCCTGCGTGCGGTCGCGCGTGAGTGCCCCGGCCTCCCATGCAGCATGCCGCACCGGCGGCCCGCGGAAGCCACCGCGTAAGGTCGCCAAGCCATCCCGCGCAGGACCCGTTCCTTTTCGTCGCCCACTTGGTGTTCACAAAACTGCGTTTTCTCCGCCATGGATGCCCGCGTCTGGGCGACACGGGGCCTCTCGAGGAGCCTCCCCGAGGCCTCGTGAGAGCCGCGCCTCCGGGCTCCGCGAGGCCTGGAGAAGAGCCTCCGAGAAGAGCCCGAGGCGAGCTTCTCGGAGGTCCCTGGACACGCAGACACCTCGGGTGCTGCCAGAAGGATCTCCAGGGATTCGAGGCCCCCCAGGCTTCCCCCAAGGAGTATCCTTAAGTCGGGCCTGTCCCCTTACAGGGGGATTTTCGACGAAAAATAGAAGATACCCCAAAAATAATCAAGAAAGAGTCCAAACATAATCTGGGGACTATTTTATTATTATTTTTTGACCTTTTGGGGGTATTTTCGGGGTATTTCTTATTTTTCGTCGAAAATCCCTCTGTAGGGGGACGCGCCCGACATAAGAGTACCCCTGACGCCCCCCAGGATCTCCGAGGAGGCCCGCCGCGGTCACCAGAGCGCCCCTGGCGAGGCCTGGGAGGGGCCCCAGGGGCTCCAGAAGGGGGCCAGACGGCCGGGGGCAACTTGGGCCAGGGTCACCCTCAGCAGCCCTCGAGTGCTTCCTGCAAGGGCGCCCTCGAGGGCGCGAAGTGATTCGCGCTTCGCGCTTCGCGGTTCGGCTCCGATTCCTCCTCATCTTCCTCTTCTCCCCCAGGTGGCGGCGCGAGAGCGCGAAGCTATTCGCACTTCGCGCTTCGCGCAGCGCGAAGCGCGAAGTTGGGAGCCCTCGTTCCTGAGATCTCTGGGAGCGCCCGCGAGCTGGGGCTCGCGGCCGCTGCCGAGAGGCCGCCCTTCTCCAGGGAGGAGGCGCGCAGGGCGCGCAGGCAGCGTGTGGCCGTGGCTCTGCGCCGCGCGGAGCGCGGAGCAGGGCTCGACCTGAACTGGCGCCACCCAGGCATACTAGTACTGTTCACCAGCCTGGAACATATCCCTATCCCTATGATTGGCATCGCCTCATCCCGATGCCGATCTTAGGGATTCCCTCCGTTTCTGAGGGCGCATCCCTAAGATTGTCGTCGACTTTGGGCTTGTTAATCTTAGGGATAGGGATACGTTCGGGGCTGGTTAACTGTGTGTGCGTCGCCGTCGAAGCCGCGGCGCGCGCGCGGAGAACTCTTGTAGCATATGCCGCGTGGCAGATGTTTTCTGGCCGTGCCGCTCGGGAAACACTTCTTCGTTTTGACTTTGTTTTGCAGCAGGGGCGGAACGAAGACAGACGACGACAGCATTCGGCGGCGAGCGAGGTGGAGAAGGCGGCGGCTTCTCAGCAGCCCTCTGGCGTTCCGAGAAGTTTTCGGTGTCTTCGGGGACCCGAAGCCTCCCGAGCCTTCCGAGAAGGCCCGCCCCCTCTCGCTTCTCCTCCGGGCGCGCCGCCCCGTGGTCCGCTGCTGCTGTCGACCGGCCCGCGACGGACCCGGGGGGCCACGCCCGCGACCGCCGCGCCCGCGACCACGGCCATGACCCACCCAGCGGCTCCCGCAAGAGCCCAGGTCCGAGCGCCGCGCCGCCGACCTGGAGCCACAGCGTGCCGCCCAGGCACAGGGGATCCAACGTCCTGCAGGTGCTCAGAGGCCCCAGAGGCACCAACAGGCGGCACGAACGTTTGATCCGACATCATTCCTCGGCGGCGGCAGCGGCGCCCCCCGACCCGTCCTGGAGCACGTTCTGGCCAGAACCTCGAGGCGGATCCAGCCTCGGCCACGAGCTGGTCTCGGCAGGCTCACGCCACTGGCCAGACGCGCCCAACAATTTCGACCCTCGAACGTCAACCGTCGACCCTCCTCCTCCTCCTCCTCCTCCCTGCTCCTCCTCTCCTCCCCTCCCCCCCTCCCCCTCCTCCCCTCCTCCTCCCCCTCCTCCTCCCCCCATCATCCTCGTCATTCTCCTCCTCCTCCCCCTCCTCCTCCTCCTCCTCCTCCCCCTCCCCCTCCTCCTCCTCCCTCCTCCCACGAGCCTGCCGCCAACGAGCAGCACGAGCACGGGGAGGGCACTGCTCGGGTCGAGCCCCGGCGCGGAGCCCGGGCGGGCGGGCCCCTCCCGCGCGGGGGCGCGGCGTGGGCCTGGGACGCGGCCTTGCGACTCGGGGGCAGGCACGCGGGGGCACCGCTGGCGCGCCCAGCAGCGCGGCGCGGGCGTCCCCTGTGTGCACCTGGACTTTCGAAGGAGAAGCCACGACGTGAGCATACATTTTCGGATATTTTCGGCGGTCCGCGCGGATTTCTCGCAGCGGCGTTGGAGCCCTTCGGCGGCGGCGCCTCTGGCGCCGCTCCTGGCGCGCGCTCCGGGCGCCAGGGAGGGGCTCCATCGCCGATCCGTACGTCAGTGCCGACCTCCGAATGTTTTTGTTGCTGTGATTTCCTGCTCCTCCGTGATGGGGACGCGAGGCCTCCCCTGAGTGCACCCTGACGCGATCGCGGGGCACCGCAGGCACTGCTGCTTCCAGGTGCAGGCATGCCCCCGCGTTCGGGGTCGTAGGCTGCTGAACGGAAGGGGCAAGGGGGGGGGGGGTTCTTCTTCCTCCTCCTCCTCCTCCTCCTCCTCCTCCTCCTCCTGGGGGCGAGGAGCGGGCGGGGGGGGAGGGGGCGAGCCTCCCCAAGAGGCTCCGCCGCACCTCGCTGCCCCCCCCCCCCCCCTTTCGTCGCGCCGTCCGTCGATGTGCGGCTTCCCGACCGGTCCGGCGGGTGCCAGGGGCTACCGGATGCTCGAATTCTGAATTCGAATTCTGGGAAACCGCGTTTCCCGAAATTTGGAATTCGAATAATGGGAAACGCAATTCCAGCACATCGAGTGTGGTTTTCCTTCCAAAGGGAAATTGCGTTTCCCATAATTCGAATTCCGGATTTCGGGAAACGCAGTTTCCCAGAATTCGAATTCCGAATTCTGGGAAACGCAATTCTGGCCCATCGAGTGCGGTTTTTAAAAGGGAAATGGTGTCCCATAATTCGGAATGATGGGAGTCGCATTTCCAGCCCATTGAGTTAGGTTTTTCACGGGAAATTGCGTTTCCCATAATTCGGAATTCGAATTCTGGAACATCGCATGTCCCGGAATTCGAAATGGAATTGTGGGAAATGTAATTCCAGCTCGTTGCTTGCGGGTTTTCAAGGGAGACGCAGTTTCCCAGAATTCGGAAGTATGGGAAACACAATCGCCTTTCAGGAAATCGCGTTTCCCATAATTCGGAATTCGAATTCTGTGAAACCGCGCGTCCCGAAATTTGAATTCGAATTATGGGAAACGCAATTCCAGCCCATTGAGTGCGGTTTTTCAAGGGGAACTGCGTTTCCCATAATTCGGAATCGTGGGAAACGCAATTCCGGCCCAGCGAGTGCGGTTTCTCATTGGGAATTGCTTTTCCCATAATGCTGAATTTGAATTCTGGGAAACCGCGTTCTTCCCGAAATTCGGAGTTATAATTATGGGAAACACAATTCTGGCCGAGTGCGGTTTTCACTGGGAATTGCGTTTCCCATAATTCCGAATTCGAACTCTGGGAAACCGCGTTTCCCGAAATTCGGACTTCGAATTATGGAAAGCGTAATTCCAGCCCGAGGGAAATTGCGTTTCCCATAATTCGGAATTCGAATTCTGGGACATCGCGTTTCCCGAAATTCGAGTTGGAATTATGGGAAACGCAATTCCAGCTCGTTGCTTTCGGGTTTTCAAGGGAAACGCAGTTTCCCAGAATTCGGAAGTATGGGAAACACAATTCCAGCCGATTGAGTGCGGTTTTTCACTGGGAATTGCGTTTCCCACAATTCGAAAATCGAATTCTGGGACTTCCCGCTTCCCGAAATTCGGATTCGAATTTTGTGAAAAGCAATTCCAGCCCACTGAGCGCGTTTTTTTCCAAAGGAAATTGCGTATCCCACAATTCAGCATTATGGGAAACGCAATTCCGGCCCATTGAGTGCGGCTTTTCACGGGAAGTTGCGTTTCCCATTATTCGGAATTCGAATTCTGGGAAACCGCATTTCCCGAAATTCGGAATACGAACGATGGGAAACGCAATTCCAGCCCACCGAGTGCAGTTTTCAAAGGAAATTGCGTGTCCCATAATTCGGAATTCTGGGGAACGCAATTCCGGCCCATTGAGTGCGTTTTTTCACGGGAAATTGCGTTTTCCATTCTTCGGAATTCGAATTTTGGGACATCGCGTTTCCCGAAATTCGACTTGGAATTATGGGAAACGCAATTCCAGCTCATTGCTTGCGGGTTTTCAAGGGAAATCGCGTTTCCCATAATCCAGAATTATGGGAGACGCAATTTCCGGCCCAGTGAGTGCGGTTTCTCAAGGCATATTGCGTTTCCAATAATTCGGAATTGTGGGAAAGGCAATTCGGGCCCATTGAGTGTTGCTTTTCAAGGGAAGTTGCGTTTCCCATAATTCGGAATTCTAATTCTGGGAAGCCGCTCTTCCCGAAATTCGGCATTCGATTTATGGGAAACGCAATGCCAGCTCATTGAGTGTGCGTTTTGAAGGGAAATTGTGTTTTTTGGGAAACGCAATGCCAGCGTTTTCCGAATTTCGGAATGCGATTTCTGGGAAACGCAATTCCAGCCCATTGAATGCGGTTCTTCAAGGGAAGATGCGCTTACCATAATTCGGAGTTGCGCGAAACGCAATTGCCTTTCAAGGGAAATTGCGTTCCCCATAATTCGGAATTCGAATTCTGTGAAACCGCGCGTTCCGAAATTCGAATTCGAATTATGGGAAACGCAATTCCAGCCCATTGAGTGCGGTTTTCCATGGGGAATTGTGTTTCCCATATGTACTTCAGAATGATGGGAAGCGCAATTCCAGCTGACGCAGTGTGGTCTTTCAATGGAAATTGTGTTCCCCATAATTTCCGTGCAGTTTCTCAGAGCTCGAATTTCGAAGTATGGGCAACGCAATTCCAGCCCATTGAGTATGGTTGGTCAAGGGAAATTGCGTTTCCCTTCGCTCGGAGTTTTGGGAAACGCAGTTCTGGCCCATCGAGTGCGGTTTTCCAAGGGAAATTGCGCCTCCCAGAATTTGAAATTCTTATCCTGGGAAACCGCATTTGCCAGAATTCGAATTCAAGTTATGGGAAACGCAATGCCCATTGAGTGCGGTTCCTCAAAGGAAATTGCGTTTCCCATTTTTCGACATTCTGGCCCATGGAGTGCGGTTTTTCACGGGAAAATGCGTTGCCCATATTTCGAAATTCAAATTTTGGGAACCGCGTTTCCCGAAATTCGGAATTCGAATTATGGGAAACGCAATTCCAGCTCATCGAATGCGGTTTTTCAAAGGAAATTCGTTTTCATAATTCGGAATCATGGGAATCGCAATTCCAGCCCATTCAGTGCGGTTTTTCAAGGGAAATAGCGTCTCACATAATCAGGGATTCGAATTCTGGGAAAGCGCGTTTCCAGAATTTCGGCATTCGAATGATTGAAAACGCAATTACAGCCCATGGGGTGCGGTTTTTGAAGGTTCCCACAACCGCAATTCCTTCAAGCCCAGTGAGTGCGATTTTTCTAGGTAGTGGCGTTTCCCATAATTCGAATTCGAATTCTGGGAAAACGCGTTTCCTGAAATTCCAATTTGGATTATGGGAAACGCACTTCCGGCCCTTTGAGTATGGTTTGTCAAGGGACCTTGCGTTTCCCATAGTGCGGGAGTTTGGGAAACGCAATTCCGGCCCATTGAGTGAGGTTTGTCCAGGGAAATGTTAGTGCGGAGTATGCTTGCAGACGGGCACGGGATTGAGGGGCCCAGCTGGTCTTTGTCACGCTCCCTTGTATTCAATTATATATTTGCTCAAGCTTTCACGGGCTCGCTCGCACGCGCCCCCTTCGCGAGGTTCCTCGCCGCCGCGGCGGCCGGGCTTCCCATCGGCAGCGGCGCCGGTTCCTGGCGCGTCGGCGGCCCTGCGGCTCGCGGCTGGGCTGGCCGCCGGACATGTCGGGTGGTGGCGCGCCCGGCTCCAGCAGCGGCCTGGACCCGGCCGTGGAGGAGGTGATCCTCCTCGAGCAGCTCGAGGAGCACGGCGACGTGGCCGAGTCGGACTTCGAGCTGGAGCTCCTCAGGCACCAGCTCGATTTGCGGGCGCAGGCCGGAGCCACGGTGGAGCGGGTGACGCCTGCGGTCGAGGAGGCCGGCGGCGGCGCCTACATCGACGCTGGCTCGCAGCTTCCCGGGGTGTACGCAGCGGGCGGTGGCGCCGCACCTCCGTTGGGAGGGCGCCTCCCAGGGGCCGGCGACGCGCGCCCGGTGGGAGCTCCTGAGGCGGGCCGGCCATCCTCCTCGCGGCCTTCGATTCGCGAGGAGCCGCTGACCATCGTCGTCCGGTCGTTCTTGGACGTGGCGGTGCGGCGCCAGTGGATCTCCGCGGACCTGGGCGAGGACGTGGCATCGTTCCGCATGCGGGTCGGGCGCCCCGCCTGTACGCCGAGGGAGGACATTGTGCTGATGGTTCACAACCGGCTGATGCTGGACGGGAATCCTCTCAGGACCTACGGCATCGGGGCCGAGTCCGAGGTCTTCGCGACCCGCAAGGTCCGCGGAGGCGCCGAGTCAGGCGATTCAAGCGTAGGGCCTGACTCCCCTCTGGGCTGGGTGTGTGGCCAGTGCCGCTCGTGGAACAGGTGCGGGCTTGAGTGCCACCTGTGCGGGACGGCCAACCCCGACATGGACCTGGACAGCAGCGAAAGCGACGAGGCGTCCGACATCGTGGCGGAGATCGATGCCGCGGGTGGCGCCGACGAGGAGCTGATCGACCCGCCGTCCGTGGAGGCCGCGCCCGGGCCCTTCTTCGTGGGCGTCCTCGATCAGAACGGGACGTTCTGGACGGAGCCGCTGGGCGGAGGCGCCGGTGGTGGAGGCGGGGAGGTCCGCGTGAGGACTGGCGCCGTGCTGCCAGAGATCCTGTCACAGGAGGCGACTCCCATCAACGGGCACTACGCCTCGGCTGCTCTGTCCCTCGCTGAGAGGGCCGCCGCGGACGACGCCCTGATCGACGATGGTGGTCCGTCCCTCCCCGGTGATGACGAAGACGATCCCACCCAGTCCAGCGGCGGTGACAGCCGCGGTGAGGGCAGCCCGCCGCCGGCCGCCAGTGGTGGCCCTGCCAGCCCACCTAGCCCGCGCTACATCCCTCTCCCGGGGGTCAGCGAGGCGGAGGTGGCGTACCGCATGCGGGCCCAGAACCTCGACCGGGAGACCGCGGCCGCCATCGTGGCGGATGGGGCCTTCTTCTGGTGCGGCTTCTGTGGGCTCATGGGAGACAGCCAAGACGAGGCGTGCGGCATGTGCCGCCGGCGCTATCCGATCTCGGCTGAGACGCCCAGCCCGCCCGCAAGCGACGTCGGGGAGGCCCGCATGATCCTGATGGCACCGCTCAACCAGGGGATCCCCGACCAGGAGCCCGGAGCCGATGCAGGCGTGATCGCGGAGGAGGGGTTCGGCCTGGCTTTGAATGGCCACCCGGCCGCGGTGCCGCGCCCTGGCCGCCGCGCGCTCCACGTGGCGCAGTTGATCGACGGGAACGAGGTCGCCCTTGACAACCCGGCTGATGAGTGGTCGCGGTTGGGGGCGGCAGGGGCAGCGGCTTCGGCTTCGGCGGGCTCGGTCCAAGATGACGGCGACGGAGCATCGCTGGACCAGCCGCCGCGCTCGCCTCGGGGGCCCCCGGCGTCCGCGGAGGTCAACCCGAGCGACGTCGTGGAGGACGCCGCGTCGCCGTTGGGGTGAAGGCCCGGGCCGGCGGCGAGGCTGGTCGACTCGACGCTGGAGGCCCAGACCCGGTGGGCGGTGATGAGCGAGTGAGGCGCGTGGCGATGCTGCCGCTGTTCCCTATTCCTCTGTCGCCGGCGCCCACCGTTCCGAGCGGGCGTGGCCGGCAGGCGTCTTGCCTGAGGGGCCACTTGCGCCGACTGAATGCAGATGTCAATGCAACTGTGAAAGCTTTGAATTGGATGGCTGGGGACCGGCACTCACCCGAGTACGGGCCGCCGCGAACCCAGGAACAGGCTAGTGTGCATGCGCGCGTCCGGGATAGGATTTCTTCCCTTTTGGATTCTGGCGTCGCGATCCCTAGTCAGCGAGCGGCTTTTCGTGAGCTGCTGCACGGCCGGGCAGTCTATGACTCTGAGCCCGGTGGACACAACCTTGCCAGTTTCTCTAATGTCGCCGCGGTGAGCCTGCCTGATAGCCTCGAAGGTGCCCCCTTGGTGCACGAGGTGGTGGGCCCGGCGGCGAGCCAGTGCCTAGAGCAGAACTACGAACGCATGCTGCGCCCACTTTCGGACTTTTTGGAGCGTGACGAGTCGCTGCCTCCCATTACTCCCTACTGGGGCCCTGTGCTTTCCCGCAGCCGCCGCAAGTTCTTGCGGCTCATGCGGGCCCTTTTCCGCATCGGCCTGGTCACGCTTTTGCCGGCTGGTTCGTCGCGGGAGCGAGTCGGAATGTTCTTCGTGAGGAAGACGGGAAAAAGTAAAAGTAGGCTCATAATTGATGCACGTCGTGCAAATCGGCGCTTCGCTGACCCTCCTGGAGTCCATCTCTGTTCGTCCGAGAGTCTCGCTAGGATCGAGGTCTCTCTGCCCAGTAGTTGCTCGAGTCTCTCTCCCTCTCAGCTTCGTAGCGCCCAGTTGTCCCTGGGGCTGGCGGATGTAAAAGACGCTTTCCATCGTTTCCGACTCCCGGCGGGGCTGGCTAGTTATTTTGGGCTGGGGACTGCCGCGGCGGGGGAATTGAGCGTGGTCGGCCATGTGATTGGTGGGAGGACCCTTGGAGTTGATGATCAGGTTGATATCTGCTGGGCTTCGTTACCAATGGGGTTTTCTTGGTCTCTCTACTTCTGCCAGCAGGTCGGAGAGCGTCGTTTGTCTGAGGTCCCGGGTCGTAGAGGTTCAGTGCTTCTCCAAGATCGAGGGAGGCCTGGTGTCTTCAGCTTTTCGGAGGGCGAGGGCGTCGAGAAGGATCAGGAAGCGCTCGAGGGCTCAGGGGTGTGTCACTACATCTATGTCGACAATCTTGGGATTCTCACGTGTGATCCTGCCCATACGGCGTCCATCCTGTCCGACGCAGCCAGCCGTTTCGAGAGCGCGGGCTTGGTGACCCACGAGCACGAGGTGAGCGTCACATCTTCGAAGGCCCTGGGAACTCATCTGGATCTGGTGGGGCTTGGGGTCTCGTTGTCACCATCACGCTTGTGGAAAGTTCGACAGGGAGTCCTGTTTGCCTTGTCGTGTCGGAAGTTACCGGGCCGTGTCTGGGAAGTGTTGCTTGGGCATCTCACCTTCTGCGCCCTGATCAATCGGAGCATGATGAGTGTGTTCAGAAGCATCTACGCCTTCATAGGTAAGTACTATGCCACTCCCATGCCATTGTGGGACACAGCGAGGCAGGAGATGCTGGCCGCGGCCTCCCTGCTCTTCTTGATGGATGCCTCTTGGTCGTTGCCCTGGGCCCCAAATGTCGTGGCCACGGACGCGTCGGAGGAGGGGTTCGGGGCCGCCATCTCTACCTGGGACCCCCGGGACGTCGCGACGGTGGGGAGGATCATGGAAATGGGCCGCTTTCGGAGGCTTCCTGGAGTGTCGGCCCGGTCGCGCTTCTTCGGGGCCTTAGAGGATCTGGAGTCCGATCTGGGGGGCGACGACCTCGACCGACCATATGACGTCGACACGGGGTTCCCTGAGGTCCCTCACAGGCTGCTTTCGGAGGCCCGCTGGAGTACCCTACTGGCTGGCCCTTGGAGGTACTTTGACGAGGGCATCTTTACCCTGGAAGCTAGGGCCCTGGTGCTAGGTTTTCAGGCCCTGGTGAGCGAGTACCAGGTCAGGAACGCCCGCTTGCTCTTCTTGGTTGACAACATGGGGGTGTGCTTGGCGTTCGCTCGGGGACGAACCTCGGATTTTAGGACATTGATGTGCATGAGACGCATGGGGGCCTGGTGCCTGTCTCTGGGGCTTCGTGTCTGCTTTCGGTGGATACCCTCGGAGTGGAATACCGCTGACGAGCCGTCCCGTCGTTTCTCAGCTGAACATGTTGGCTCACACGCTGATCTTGGCTCTGTTCGCGATCCCCCTGCTCTTCACGGACCGCCCGAATGTGACGCTGAACCCGCCGGCTCCAGTCCTGGCGACGGCCGTGCCGCGCTCAGCCCGCTGGGCGGACCGCCCGGCCAGGAGCCCAACGTTTCTGACAACTCCGACGGCGAGGCCCCGCGCTTCCCGACCATCCAGGCTGGGGCGGGACAGTCCTCAAGCTCGGGTTCCAGGTCGACACTGGCTGCTTCGCGGGCCTCTCGGCGAGGCTGCCGAGGCGGGCGAGCCGGCGGGGCGGCCGCGTCGAGGTCCTGGTGGCGTACCTGGCCGGTTGCTCCGCCGCCCGGACTTCCGCTTCCTGAAGGGCGCAGACTGCAAGGGCCGCGGGGGGCTGCAGCATGTCGGGAGCCTGACGCCGCCCGGGCTGAGCAGCTACATGACAACGCCAGCGGCGCCGCGGTCGCGGGCACGGCATCGGGGCACCTCGTGCGGCGGCCCCTCTGCCTCATGGACCTGCTCGGGCTTCACACCAGCGAGCCGGACCCGCCGTGTGTTCGTGCTGAACATGGGCATCTACAAGCACAAGGCCAGGGTCTTCAACTTCTTCTTCAACAGCTACCCGCGCCAGTTTATGGCGTGGGACACCTTACGGCGGCGCCTCCATCCGCTGTTTCTGGGAAAGCTCTCCGACGCCGCCATCGTCGCCGCCGGGAAGTATTGCATTTGGGCCAGGATCAAGAGCAGGAAAAGGTGGAAGGCGGACCTACGCGCGCTAGTGTACCGCAGCACAAGCCTTGTCAAGCACACCTCCGAGCAGCTGCTGATCGTCTCGTCGGCGTCTCACGGGTGCAAGCGGGAGCTCCCTCCCGGGCCCCCTTTGTGCGACCAGATCGACCCCTCGGCCAGCGGACTGCCCGACATCCTGAGCTCGGCCCCAACGAATCGACGCCTTACCTCGCTGACCTTTTTGGGGGTGCAGGCGGAGTGGGTCGCGCAGCAGGTAGATGCGGTATCCGGGCCAGGCTGTGGGACAAGTCGGTTTTTGACGCCTTGGATCTGACACTTTTGAAGAACATCCAGCTTCTCTGCTCAGAGGCCAAAGCACGCAAGTTAGTCGCAGCCATGATCGCTATCGAGTGCCGGTCTTGGGGCATCGCTCGCAATCGAACCAATGTGATCCGTTCGCGACTGAAGCCCTGGGGAGTTACGAGTCCAGCCAAACCTTTTTCAATTAATGACCTGGAAGCCCTCAGGAGCGGAAATCTCCAAGCTCAGCGAATCCTCAAGTTCATTCGGTACATCCACGCTTTGGGTATCCCTTGGGCCGTCGAGAATCCCAACACCAGCATCCTTTGGTGGGTTCCTGGCTATCTGGCGCTCGCAAAAGACCCCAAGGTGTCTGTTAAGGTTATCGACCAGTGTGCGTTTGGAACACCATGGCGAAAACGAACTCGTCTCATGTTTGGCAATTGCGACCCCTTTGATATCAGCTTGTGCGACCAATACGTGTGCCACGGTCGGGGGACATGCTGTTTCTCTGGAAAGCGTCATGTAGAGCTAGAAGGCAAACGTATGACGTCTCAGGCTCAGACATACCCTCCACGCCTCTCCCAGCTCCTGGCAAAAATACTATGCAGTACTGCAGTCTATCAGCGCGCTCACCACTATGGGCATTTATATCCACTGTGATCTACCTCTCCTTCATCAACTCATAAGCTCACTACCCTTTTGGGACGACTTGGGAATCAGCGTTCGCCTTTGGCCGAGTATATACTCATTGCATTCTCGCGTCCGTTTGTGGGCCAGCGCGTGAAGACGGTGGCTGAGTTGATTAGACATATTGCTGTTGAAAAAGAAGAAGCGAAGGCCTCTCATGTTAGTGCGGAGTATGCTTGCAGACGGGCACGGGATTGAGGGGCCCAGCTGGTCTTTGTCACGCTCCCTTGTATTCCATTATATATTTGCTCAAGCTTCCCTCCCCCCTCTCCCCCTCTTGCGCCGTGTCGTTTCGACTCCGCGTTTCAAAAGGAATCAGCGTTCGCCTTTGGCCGAGTATATACTCATTGCATTCTCACGTCCGTTTGTGGGCCAGCGCGTGAAGACGGTGGCTGAGTTGATTAGACATATTGCTGTTGAAAAAGAAGAAGCGAAGGCCTCTCATTGCCATTCCCATCATTCGGAATTCGAATTCTGGGAAGCCGCATTTCCTAAATGAGGCACAATCCTGGCTAATTAATTTGGTGTTCCAAGGGAAATTTCGTTTCCCATTATTTGGAATTCGCCTTCTGGGAAGCCGCGTTTCCCGAAATGCGGAGTTCGAATCATGGGAAACACAATTCCGGCCCATCGAATGCGTGTTTTTAAGGCAATTCGGAATTGTGGGAAACGCAGCCCCGGCCCGTCGAGTGCGGTTTTTTCAAGGGAAATTGCGTTTCACACAAAATGTGAAATTGAAATTCTCGGAAACCGCGTTCTCCGAAATTTAGAAATCGAATTATGGGATATTCCATTCCGGGTGATCGAGTGCGGTTTTCCAAGGGAAATTAATTGTTCATATTGGGAAATTCGAATATACGCAGTTCCACCGAATTCGGAATTTGAATTAAGGGACATGCAATTCCAGCCTCGTGAGTGCTGTTTTTCAAAGGAAGTGGCGTTTCTCACAAGCTGGAAGTATGGGAGATGCAATTACGGCCCAGCGAGTGCGGTTTTGCAAAGGAAATTTCGTTTCCCATAAGTCGAAGTTCCAGTTCTGGGAAACGGCAGTTCCCGAAATTCGGAATATGAATTACGGAAAACGCAATTCCAGGCCTTGGAGTGCGGTTTTTCAAGGGAATTGCGTTTCTCATACTTCGGAATTATGGGAAACGCAATTCTGGCCCATTCAGTGCGGTTTATCAAGGGAAATTGCGTTTCTCGTAATGCGAAATATCGAATTAGGGGGAAACCGCATTTCTCGAAATTCGGAATTTCAGTTATGGGAAACGCAATTCCAGCCCATTGAGTGCAGTTTTTCAAGGGAAGTTACGTTTTCCATAATTCGGAATTGTGGGAAACGCAATTCCGGCTCAGTGAGTGCGGCTTTTCAGTGGACATTTCGTTTCCCATAATTCGGTATTCCAGTTTTGGGAAACAACTGTTCTCGAAATTCTGAATCCGAATTATGGGAAGCGTGATCTCAGCCCATTGAGTCCGGGTTTTTTCAGGGGAATTTGCGTGTCCCATAATTCCAAATTGACTTATGGGAAACCGCGCTTCCCGAAATTAGGACTTCGAATTATGGGAAAGCAAGTGTAGCCCATTGAACATGGTCTTTCAAAGGACATTGCGTTTCCCACAACTCGGAATTATGGGAAACGCAATTCCAGCCCATCGAGTGCGGTTTTTCAAAGGAAATTGCGTTTCCCATAATATGGAATTCGAATGTTGGGAAATAGCGCTTCCCGAAATTCGAATTCGAATTATGGGAAACGCAATTCCAGCCCACTCAGTGCGTTTTTTGTGTGAGGAAATGGCGTTTCCCATCTTATGGAATTACGGAAAACGCAATTCCGGCCCATTGAGTGCGGTTTATCACGGGAAATTGCGTTTCCCATAATCAGGAATCCGATGTTTGGGAAACTGTGTCTCCCGATATTCGGAAGACGAGTTATGGGAAACGCAATTTCACCCCACCGAGTGCAGTCTTTCATCGGGCAACTGCGTTTCCCATAATCCGGAATTATGGGAAACGCAATTGCGGCCCATTGAGTGCGGCTTTTCAACGGAAGCTGTGTTTCCCATAATTTGGAATTCGAATGCTGGGGAACCGCGCTTCCCGGAATACGGAGTTCGAATTCTTGGAACCGCAATGCCAGCCCATCGAGTGCGGTATTTCAAAGGAAATTGCGTTTCCCATAACTCGGAATTCGAATTCTGAGGAATCGCGTTTCCTAAATTCGGAATTCGAATTATGGGAAACGCAGCTCCAGTCCACGGAGTGCGGTTTCTCAAGGGAGAATGCGCTTCCCATAACCCGGATGTATGGGAAACGCAATTCCGGCCCGTGAAGGAAAGTTGCGTTTCCCCTTAATTCGGTTTCCGAAATCTGGGAGACCGCGTTCCCCGAAATTCGGACTTCGAATTATGGGATAGGCAATGCCAACCCATTGGGTGCTGTTTTTGAAAGGAAATTGCGTTTCCCATAATTCTGAATTCGAATTCCGAGAAACCGCTCTTCCCGAAATTCGAAATTCGAATTCTGGGAAACGCAATTCCAGCTTCTGAATGCGGCTTTTTCAAGGGAAGATGCGTTTCCCACAATTCGGAATTATGGGAAACGCAATGCTATTTCAAGTGAAATTGCGTTTCCCATGATTCGGAATTAGAATTCTTGGAAACCGCGGTCAAATTCGAATTGGGGGAAACGCAGTTCGAGCTCATTGAGTGCGGTTGTTCGAAGGAAAAAGCGTTTCCCATGATTCAGAATGATGGGAAATGCAATTCCAGCCCAGGGAGTGCGGTTTTTCAAAGGACATTGTGTTCCCCATAGTTCCGAATTGTGGATTCTGGGAAGCCGCGTTCCCCGAAATTAAAATGCAGTTCGCCAGAATTTAGGGAAACGTAGTATCCCAGAATTCGAAGTCCGAGTTATGGGAAACGCAATTCCAGCCCATTGAGTATGGTTTTTCAGAGGAAATTGCCTTTCGCATAATTCGGATGTGTGGGAAACGCAATTCCGGTACATTTGGTGTGTTTTTTCCTTGCCCATCACGAGCGGCCCCAGTGCTAGCCAGGCACTCTTGTGGTGGGGGGTTTCAATGCCGGTGCGGGCTGGGGTTGCGCTCAGTCGCAGCTGACGCCCGCTCCGAGCGGAGAGCGGCGCGCGCTTCGACAGTGGAGCACTTTGCCGCCTGCTGTGGTCTGTCGAGTACGTCTGCTCCACATACCCTTTTAGCTCTGACGCAGTTCTTCACCATGCAGCACTTCATACCTTTGGCAGTCTACTGACGCCATTGTTTTAACGTGACTCCACCACTTGCTTCCCCTTGCGCATTCGAACCTTTCTTCCTTGCCCATCACGGGCGGCGCCACTACTATTTGGGGAGGGGGGGGGTCATTCTTTACAGGTGTAGGCCGGGATGGAGGATACTCGCACATGCTCCGTTCGGTCACAGCTGACACCTGCTCCGAGCGGAGACTGGCACGCACCCCGACAGAGGAATCATTTTGCCACCTACGGTGGTCTGTCGAGTACGTCAGCTCCACGCTCTGATCTTGTTTGCTTTCTGCGGGCGGCCTATATGTCACAAATACTATGGATATGCGAGGGTGCCGGTTCAGGGCTGGGAGGGGGGCGGATCTGCCTCAGCACGTCACTTCACTTACTTGTTGCTCTGCATCTCTCCTTGCATTTCTATTGTTCTTTGTCGCCTGAGGAGGCACTGCGTTTAGATTCGACGGGGGATTCTGCCTAACAACTTTGGGTATTTGGTAACTAAGGTCAGTGCATGCCTCGAAGACCTGGCGGGCGACTACTGTTCGCACTACACTTGGCTTCGCCTCTTTGTATTTCATTTTCCGCGTCGCCTGCCAGGCACGTCTATGACCCGAGGCGCACCTTAGTGTCGGTCTAACGTGAAAAGGAGGATGAGGAGGCGGCGGAGGAGAGAAAGGGGGGATGCGTGACTCCTCAACCTCCTGTTCCTCCTCCTCTCCGTCTTCCCCTCTTCATCATGAATACACCTCCCCCTTACCATGACTGACCTGTTCTTCCTTCTCCTGTCACTCCTCGCTCTCGCTGTCCTTAGCCCCATCCTCCCAGAGAAGAGATCTGACTCCGAGGAAGAGTTATAGGAGGTTGGTAGCAAGGAAGAGTTGTGGAAGGGACGTCAAGAGGAGGAGGGGGAGAAGGCGGATGAGGAGGAGGGTGAGAAGGATGAGGGGAGGATGATCAGTGACTCGATAGTCAGTAGTAGTACTCTTATTATTTTGTCTTCTCCCCACCTGGTTAGATCATTCCCACTCTCCCCCATCCTCACCAGCATCATCACCAGCATCATCATCATCAGCGTCATCATCATCACCATCAACCACATCATCGTCACCACCATCATCATCCTCATCAGCACTATTGTCATCGTCAGCGCCATCGTTATAGTCATCGCCATCGTTACTTATACCGTCATCTTCATCATCATCGTCACAATCATCATCAGCAGCATCAACAACAACATCATCATCATCATTGCCGTCGCCGCCACCATCATCATCATCATCATCATCATCATCATCATCATCATCATCATACTCAGCATCATCATCATCATCATGATCATCATCATCGGGACATCATCATCATCATCAACATCATCACCATCACCATCATTATCATCACCATCATCACCATCATCATCATCAGCATCATCACCATCGTCATCATAACCATCATCATTACCATCATCATCGTCATCACCATCATCATCATCATCGTCATCATCATCATCATCATCATCATCATCATCATCATCATCTTCATCACCAGCATCGCCATCTTCCTCGCAATCTAGGCCGAAGCAGAGGAGGAGGCGGGGGAGGAGGAGGATCCCAAGGAGTGGGGATTAGGAATCGGAGTAGGGAGTGGTAGTCGGCAGTAGGAGTAGGGAGATAAGAGGGAGGGAGGAAGGGAATGAGGAGTTGGAGGAGGAGTAGGGAGTAGGCGGGGGAGGGGAGAGGGCAGACGGGAAAACGTGGTGCCGAACCCTCGTTGATGCGGCGAGCGAAAAATGCGGCAAACTCTACATGTTCCAAGGTGTTCCAATCTCTTGCGCCGACGCCTTGTCGATGTTGCAGGCGGATCGGCGCCAGAGGATTGGACACATGGGACATATTTTATTTTACAGCACGTTCCTTCTGCTGCATCGACGATGGTTCGGCGACAGAGAATTGGAAGCACTGGGAACATGGGATTTTACACCATCGTCCTTCTGCCGTGTGAGAAAAATGTACATGGGAGTACCCATACAAACATGTGTATGCACATCTGTGTGTATGCCATGTCTTCTTCTAAATGCTTCCGCCATTTCGCCGATCCCGAGAACAATAGAGGCAGTCATCGAGTTCGGTAGCTTCACGTCCACGCCTCAGTGATTGCGTTCGGCGAGGTCCGTGGACCGTGGACTTGCTAGCACAGGCAGGAGTCAGAAGCCTCTTGAGGCCATCTTGGAAGTCTCCTGGCGCTGTTTTGTAAGCCCTCTGAGCCCTCTCCGGCCGCCATGGGGCATCCCTGGGCCGTCTTCGCAGACCTCTTGGCGGCGTCTCGAGCCGTCTTGGGCTGGTCTGAAGGGCCTCTTGGGCTGCCTAAGGCTTTTGGAAGCCCGAAAAGACGAGAACGCGAGACGCACAACCACATATGTATGTAAAATCAATGTTTCTTACTTCGGAAGGCCCTCTTGGGAGCTTTCTTGGGGCCCTCTTGGGGCGTCGTGGTGGCCTCTTGGGCCGTCTTGAAGCCATCTTGGGTCGGTTTTGAAGCCCACCGTCGTGGGGCCCTTTCGAGACAATCTTATGCCCTCTGGCCATTTCGGAACGTCCGTGGGCGCAATGACTGCAGAGGGGAACTCACCCCCCTCTTCTCAAATGGGTTTTTGGACCCCTGGGGATGGGGGAGTCGGGGGAGGTGGACAGCCGAGCATCTCACTGTCTCTCAGCCTCTCTTCTCGATCGTCTTCTCCTCTGCATTGGACAGATTATCGCCTCTTCTGCTTCCTCTCGTTCTCTTTTTCTTTGACGACGACTGTCGCATAGTAGTCGATGAACAACGGGTATGTGTTAGGCAGAGCGAACAGACTAATCTGCTTTGAGGTGGCGACCTGGACGGTAAGTTGAACAAGCCGAGCTGTTGCAACGCGATGAAGTCCACTGTTTTCTTCGTAGGTGCTCAGCGACTGGAGAGAAGATGGGTCAACAGAAACGGAATGTGACGAGAAGGGGGGATGGGAGGGGAATGTACTCCAAAGCGAGCTGAGGGACGTAAGGGGTGGAAACGAGCGTGCGCCCGCGGCCGCGTCGGCTCAAGCGGCCGACCGCCCAAATATGATTGTGCTTCACTGCGAGGCACACAATCGCTATCGAGACCAACAGGATCTTCCTATTGCTTAAGATGGCACATCCTCTCCTAGTGGGGCTATCGTTACTACGGTACAACAGAGATGGATATTGACTTCGCCTAAAGCGAAGCTGCTGGCTGGGCCTCCCAGCCCACTTCAAGCTTGGTAGCGGAACTGGCCTATGGTGGTCAGCTCTTGCTCTACTCATCTCCATCCACGGCACTATCTGGTGGACTACGGACATGGTGGAACATCAGGGTGCACTGGGTTTGCGCGGGGGAATGTACATAGCTACGCAGTACCGCGAGGACACTTGTAACGATACTTCTGTTCAAGCGGAGGTCTCTTACTTACATTATACCTCCCTGTGCTTCCACACTCTTGAAGTCCATCCTTCTACTCCAATTCGAATTTTTTTCGAAGATATAATGCGTGGAAACCTGCGATAGGAAATATTGCCGCCCCCGACCCCACGCATATTTACGACTACACAGCGGAAAGTCCAACCGAGTACATCCGACTACGACCTACGAGGCCATTGGATTTGTGTTACTATCTTTGGGCTCACATGGGTCGCAATCGGGCGTGCGGTAGGTCATATGCGTGGTGGAGACGACGCGAGAACGACCAGCCTTCATTGGGACCCAGCCGGTCAAGTACCTTTTCGCGAATTTGTCCGCGAAGTATATGCCTGGATCAATGTGACCACAGGCAAAGACGCCCTCCCAGCAGGCTGCAGCTCTGCAGCGAGGTTTGGGAGGTCTCGCACGGACCATAGCCATGAGAATCCTTCCAGCACATATTCATTTTGGTGTCAACATAGGTGGCCGCCACACCGACGGCGTCACGTACATCATGTTCCTCTTCAGCACGAACAGTCGAGAATTTAGAAGAGGAGGACCAACTCAACTCTAGTGCGGCTCTCATTGATTTCCGAGTCCATGCGGGCGAACGTATCGACCAGACGTTTGCACGTCTTGAGATAGCCTGGTACGAAGCGGAAACAGCGGGCCTCAACATCCCCAACTTCCAAATCCTAGCAGCAATTCTATTCAGAGCCCTTGGAGTGGGACATCGCGTGCACAACAACTCCTGCAGCCTCTGAACCACCATGTGCCGAGAGACGAACAACAGTTTGACGCTCTACTTGAACGTGTGCGTTCATTTACCCACATTGCTGACAGAACCTCCGGCAATATGGGTGGTGTTTTTAGCCGCGGTCACAGAGCCGAGACCTTCCACGTGGAGGCTAGCGCGGGGCAGCCTGCCAACAACGTCTGGAATGATGATCCACTACCAACTGAGACCAGTACGCTGCTGGCTCAGAATGGTGGAACGGCCTCGGGGTCGCAAGACTCCTGGGCCAGGCTTCGGGGACCGCCCGACGCGGTCTCCGCCGTGCAAGCCATGGCCCTAATGGGCTCAGCGGGCAACCCGCCGAGTCCGACTTCGAGTCCGGTACTGATGCAGATGCGTCTTCAGATGGCGAAGCTACCGCCCTTGATTATTCTGATATGCCTACATACCTTACTGAAGAGCAAGAAGCCCCATGGTTATTTTTATGTCATCAAAAACAGAAGCGTCGCTGGCGGAGATTCATGAATAAATCAGTCCGACAGGCAAAGCGTATCGTGCGACGATGACTTACAGGAAAAGGCAAAAGTCGAAGTAAGGGTAAAGGTAAGCGTCGGCGATTGCATGGTAGAGGCGTATTAGCATTCTTAGCATATCTTACTGGGCCTCAGCATGAAGAAATGTTCCTAGGTGCTGGCAGAAACCGCACGCGTACATCAGGCAAAGGTAAGGGGCGGCGTGTAAACCCAAAGGATGCCTACGATAAAACTATGGAGTGCGACATATGCCACAGTGCACAACATTTTCGACGCGAATGCCCTCGAGGTGATGGAAAAGGCAGGGGTCCGTCAATGCATCTGGCTCTGACAGACTCCGACATGCAGTATGTTGAGTGGGGGTCACTTTTAGCTGACCCCGCCGATGTCTCAGCCACAAGTGTTAATTTCATGGCTGCCAGATATCTCAACGCCAGTATGGTCCTCGAGAATTACGCCGACGAGCTGTTCGAGGAGGTGCTCACTGGCCACGGCGACATCGATTTGGCAGAATGGCTGGGTACACCCATCGCGGGGCAACCTGCAGATATTGAGTTTGTCGAGAATTTCCGCATGCCCGCTGAGGGAGATTTTGACATGGCGGGGGCGCCCGCGGATTCAGAATCTACCATTCCTGCAACAAGCGAAGAACGCAGGCGATGCTCTCGGGTGATTGGAAATCCGACAGGCATGGAATTAATCAATGATGATCCTCTGCGGGGGAACCCGCGAGACGCTGGTGATCTATCTTGGCGTATTCAATGTGAGCTTGGTCATAGTGAAGAATTTCACTGCACTTTTGTTGCTTCAGATCGGTCCATGAGCCGCCAGAAGCGATCGACAAGCCGCCCAGTCTGGAGGAAGAGGAATTATCGCGATGACGACGAGGGCGAAAAACGGGGAGACAGTGACCGCGTGATACGTCGCGGTCGTGTTCCCAGTCGCGCGCCAGATCGCGCGCGCGCCCGCTCCAGTGGTGCTCTCTCTAGCGGTCGTCAGCGTCCTTATCCTCCTGATGCGGGGGGCCCAAAGGCCCCGCCGTGGCGGGCTAATGGGCCTGGGCCCCCCCCATGGAGGGAGTGCCTGCGGGGGCGCCCGCCTCAAGATGGTCAATCGCGAGAAGAAGAATATCCATAAGGTAGAATACAGCGCCTTATAGGTTACACGGAAGCTGGATTGGCTCGTCAGTGCATGCCCCCAGGTCAGATAGAATACTGGCTGGATCAGGGTTGGGCTGAGCATTTGATCCGGCTTGGTATTCTCTTCGCAACATCCAGCGAGACGAGAAATGCAAGGTCATGCGCTCGACAAGGGCAGGGCCTGTTAAATCGCAAGATAAGATGGTCGCGCGCAACCTCGAGGGGGGCCATTATCGAGGAACGCAAGCTCTACAGAAACGTCTGTTGCTCATGCCCCGAATGCGCTGACCACGGGCTTGGCTGCCCCGTGAGACGCCCATCGAGCAGCTAGAATTTAGAAGGACGCCGTGGGTTTGGTCTCATGGTGATGGTCGGGGTCAGTGGACCGGCCCCAATGCAAAACCATATGAGGAGCAGCTGACGGAGAGCGACTACGACCGCGCCGCAGCTGATGAAATAGCCCGCGCAAGCCTCGCGTGGAATAATTTGATACCTACTCACTCTTTGGTGCACTTCAATCGCGATTGGAGTGCAGGAAAGCTTGCTGATTACAAACCAGAAGAATATCAACAATAAGCTGATGAAGATGAAGATGATGATATGGCCGAAGAAGTAGATCCCACGGACGCGGCCCCTGAAGGGCACGCGTCGGACGATTCGGGTATTGCGGGCGCTGCGTGTCAGACGAATGCTCCGATCGATCTCAGGTGCGTTGTTACTGAGAAGATGGATCTCTCCCCTGAGAGGCGGATTGCTTACCGTGCTCAATGTGCGGGCTGGATGAAGGCAATCGCAGTCGAAACGCGCGGCGCCGCTACGCGCCTTCTCACAGGTAAACAAAAGACCACTTAAGAACATGGCCCTCAGGTCACCAGATGAACGCGATTTGGACCCTGACCGTGGTCCCGTGCGTTATGGGCCAGGGGCGCCGGCAGGGGCCGCGGCTAAGGCAGTTCCTAAGCCGAAGCCAGAGGCGATCATCGATACTCCTCCATCTTCGGATTCATCAAGTCCATCGCTTGGCCCTGATCAGTTCAGGCCTGAAAGAAAGAAGAGGAAGAGCCCATGTGATCCTAACCCTGGAGACAGCGAACAGAGGCGATCTGCGGGGCAACCTGCTGACCGACAACGATCTAGAGGACCAGCAGCGGTTGCCGCTGCAGCTGCGTTTCAGGGCGCCAGTGCCCCTGCTCCAAGGGGAACCCGTGCCACGTCGCGGCCCCGCGCCAGGTCGGGCGCGCAGGGCAGGATGGATGCCCGCGCTGGAACGACGAACAATGGATGCTTCCTTAACGAGGCGCGGTGCCGAAAAGCTACTGGCCGCCATCGAAGGCGCCAGGAATGGCTTTCAGAGATAAGCCAGTCGAGCCTTACAACATCAAGGAAAAGACACGTCAGGTCTTCGACATCAGTGCCCCGACAGGAACTTTTCGGACGCCCAGGGGAATTGCTGGCGTTGCCATATCGGCGGCGAGCGCACCAGCACCTGCCGCGCCAGTGGCAGCCCAACGTTCCGCGGGGCAACCTGCTCAGAGCTCAGCAGGGCAACCTGCCCTCACTTTGGAGATGCCAGTGGAATGCCGAGAGTGCTGGGACAAGTTACGCACGTCCAATCGTACGAAGATCAGCCCAGCATTTCATCCCCAGATTGATGACGGGTCTTATCGATACATGGTGGTGCAATGCGACCTCGTGGACACTGCCGCTCATCATGGCCCAGGGTCACATGCGCGCCAGACAGTGCGCAACCTTCTGCGTAGACGCCCAGCACTCACGCTCGACTCTGAAAAGGGAATATCTGATTGGGATCCTTATATCAGAAAATGCCAGAATACCGAAGTTCAGCAATGACAGGCAACGTCAGGCCTCAGAGTGGCTGACGACTGCCCTTCGTCGCAAGCCTTTCATGACGGTCGTCTTCCGGACAGAATCCTGCGGGAAGTACAATCCTACGATGAATTTGACGGATGGGCAGAGTTACCGCATTTGCTTAACAACGGGCCAGCTGAAGGATATTGGAACTATCATTACAAGCACCTGGACACTCTGCGCCACAAGCTCAATGACAAACACTGGGC